CGTGTTCTACGATGATGGCTGATGGGGCGGGGCCATCGACGAGATTTGTAAAGAGATGGTGAAGAACAAAAAAAAGCACCAAGGAAGATCTAACGGAAGTACATAATTGATTACAAACTACAAGTGCTCAAAAAATAGTGTTCTCAACCGAGCGCTCTGGAAAGGGAGGGGCAACGCCAAACTTTATATTGGTCATTGCGTATTTTTTTTCTTTGAATTCAACACTTCCAGAGGATGATTTTAACCGGTCGAGAAGGCACGTTTTTTACTGTTTTGTTGTTATAACATCGTTTTCCGTAAATTGCCGTTCGATTATATAATATTGGGAAACTTACCTTACTGATTTTATCCTGAATTACCTCATTCCACGCCACTATTCTTAATAGCTTAACGCTTTGAGTGGTAAGGGACGATCTCCTGACATCAAGTTAAATGGAATCGGATACATGCGCTGAGATGTTTCCTTGGAATATGCTGTTAAAAAAGGATTTTTCAACATTTTAGCTGCACAAGCAACAGTTAAGGTATCCGTTTGGACGATGGTGGCATCTCTCGCACTTATGGGAAGCATTCGCAAGGTTTCTTTTTTTGTAAAGCCAATTGCACATGAGTTTTTCGCAGCTTGCGACAGGAATCGTCCGGTAACTTATGCTGTTACTGTGCTTAGGCGGCAATGCATCTTTGATCCCTTTATGATTTTAACTACAACACGCGGCAAAACCAGTAAATGTTTTGAAATCAAGTTCAAGAAGTATGTATACGCACGTTCAGCACAACGTGACGTACCTATGGCGAGGTGGAAGGGCAGACGGCCGCGCAGGTATTCACAGCCTTCATGTGGCGAAATGGGCTTTTTGATTTTTCCTTTTGCGCACACCCATTGGGGTCGCCAGATATGCAGCCTCACATCGGCGGCCCCCTCGCAATGGAGGGAAGCACGCCAGTTGCATGAATGGGGGGGGGAATAAAGTGTTCACCCGGGGAGCCCGGCGCTACTCCATAGCCTCTTTCGCAATGCCGTGTGGGCCGGAATTGCTTATGGCATTTGGGGCGTCACGCTCGGCGCTGGGCGCCGAATGGGCGTCATTGGTTGTACAAAAATCTTTCTTGATGCACCAGTCTCAGTGCGCACGGCCGCAGCTAGCAGATATAACGTTTCAAATATAGAAAATTGCCAGCGCACCATTCCAGAAGATGCGGAAACAACTGGCCCAGGCGCATCAACAGTTGCGACAAATCCGGGTGAAAATAGAAGAAGCCCACCAAACAAAGGAGAACTCGAGTGCGATGGAGAACATCACCGCTCTTCCGTTCCCGTCGCAGAACGTCATGCAGAAGATGCCATCAAAACAATTTTTCAGCACGGCCCCCGGAGGCCAGCGGATGAACATCGCCTCGGCTACGGTTTTGGACGCCGTACCATATAAAGGGGGCGGCGCTGAATATCGCCCGAACATGGGGGGTGCGGAATACAGGATTTCAGACGGAAAGCGTGGGGCATGAAGAACCGGCCGGAAGACGCCGCATACGCTTATAAAGGTGCCATGGTTAATCTTCTGAACACCTCGCCGGGTCACCTTCTGGCTGCGTTCCGGGCCATTTTCCAGCCACTAGGCGCACAGACCCGTTTGTACACGCATGCGTAGGTCTGTTTTTAATTTTAGGCGCGCGGCATACGCTAAGCGAGGCCCACCGCCGAAATGACTCGATTAGAGAGAACGCTGTGCCTCAAGCTGCGGCCCCTACGCGCTACCGGCGGTAGCCAGGGGGTGCGGTTGCATGGTGTACGGGGGGCATTGGTGGAACCCTTGGTAAGGGCGATGCTATCGCACAGGCGGTTCAAAATGCTAAGAGGTACGTCGCCCATCCGTCGGGCAAAGTGCAGCGCCATCGCCTTGGGAAGACGGGCCATTACAGCAGCATCCCCCGCGTGAATACCGCACGCCCCTAAAGAAAGAGGAAAAACGAGCATCGACCCCGGGACGATTAATTGCAGGGCTATCGGATTATGGGGGTCCATATATTCTGGCTGGCGCAGCGCGGAAAACTTTACGTGAGGCCCAGCCATCGCGCCTTGCAACCATTACGGGGATAGATGCCGGGCTGGAGTCTTTCCACCAACAAGGGAACGAGTGAAAACGCCAAGGCATAACCCCTTTTTGGCAGCCGGGGCTCGTAAAAGGAAAGAACGCACAAATGTTGCGCAAGAGTTGCCACCAATCGGCGCAGGGTGTCACCATTATTCCCGCTCCGAACCACAACCTCTATGCCGTGGCCCTTGCATCGGAGAAAAACAGGTATGAAATGCGCATACGGAACCCGTCGGCACGGTAACAAAAAGGAAACCATGTTGCGCCGCTTTTTCGAGTTTGTGGCCACGCACGGTTTGTATATCCGGAAATAAATCGTTCCCTTATTTATCGTTAACCTTCATTTGAACCAGGGGGAGGGCGACCCGATACACAAGAAGCGTTGGCTTGCCTGTTGGAAGCATAGTGAACGCCGGCGCAAATGTTTTTTTCCCAGCCCCCGGAAGGCTTTAGCCGGAGACCCTACAAAACAAGCACGGGCCATGTTGCGTTTGGTGCCCGGCATGGTCGGTGATACGTTGGCACGCAAACGGGGCAGAGTCGCTTAAAGGCCATTTTCGGCGACTTCCAGTTGTTGAGGTAAATAGCCCTTTTCAAGAAAGGAAATATCTCGGAGCATCCATGGGGCAAAACGGCTCTAATCGTTGATTTTGGAGGGGGCTCTTCCCCAAAACGCATAAGATTGACCCGCACAGAGCGGCGCAGCACGTGATTATAAGAGGGGCCGGCGCCGAAAAAATTACCGAAACCACCACCTCCGGCATGGAAAACATTCTCCGTCCATACGGAATGAGAGCTCGCTCCATCGAAAGGTGGGCGCTGTTGCGCGCAGCAGCCGCCATGGTGGAGCACGACTTGGGCCCCTGCTTTCTGGCGCAGTTGGAAAAACACGCGGGCTCACTAGAGCCCCCTCTGGGCAGAGTGCGTTGTATAGGCCATTGGGCCGTGACAACCAATATGTCCGAGGAGTTGGAGCCGTGGATGTGACATGCCTGGGGGTTGGTCAAACAGCCGTGGATCCAGCCTGTGTCGGTGCGGAAAGGGGCGCAACCTTTATTTCAAGGCCGCACCGTTTTACGACGCACACGCAGAACAAGGGCGGCCACACACGAAGAGGAAGAAATTTTGCCATTCTAGCGGGTGGGTGTGGGCTCGTTATCCCTTCTTTGGGCCAGGTGGGGGACCCATGCCGAGGCACATCCGCGTTTTGACGCGGTTTGGGGGATATTGTGTAGCCCACCAACGGCACCCCAGCCGGCTCAGCAGTCCAATTTGCGTATTTCAGAGTGGTGCGCCAAGCTCATTAAAAAGACCGGTGTCATCAGCAAGGCTTCAGAACATCGTACCGTAAGATGGGTGATGCCGTTCGCGGTGGTAGGGGGTAAACCGGCGGGTCTTCGGCGGCAATTTATCGCGTTTCCAAGGGGAATGAACGCCAAAAATGATTACGAAGGAGAGAATTCCCTGTGGTATATTTCCCAGTGTCTGAGCGCAGCTTTTAACAAACAGCTGCCATGCTTGATTTAAAGGCTTCGTTTTTTTCAAGCTGCTTTACCAAACAACATACTTCCAAATTTTATGTGTCAGACAGCACATGACGAGTTAGTGGAAGCAACTCGCCTTCCAACGTGGGACAAGCGACGCCCTGAGATAATGCACACCATAAGAAGGGGTTTGGAGGGGGACCCTGGCACCATAGAGCTGCGGTATGCAAAACCTATTAGAATGCGGATTCACGCATGTATAAGTGGCATGCGTATCAGTGGGCCGGCGGGAAAAACGCATATCGCAAAGCATGGGCCAGCGCGGCTCAACAGCCAGCGAGCAGCGGCACTGTTGCCAAAAATATGATTTTATCGGAGTACAGTTTGATCATGTTTCGCAGGCGGTATCGTGGTGTATAAAAATTTTGGGCAAACTACAGGGCTTGCTTGGAGATGAACCAGTTAGCCTCCTATGGCCGATACTTACTTCCGCAATGTTGGCCCCAGACGCCTCAATGTGCTGATGGGGTGCCTTATTGTTTAGGAATTTGGGGGGGGGGGNGATATCTGGTGGCGCTTGGGATGGGGCGCCTGACATAATTTCCAAAGTCGAAGCGCTTGTGGCCCACCTGGCCCTACAGGCTTTCCGCCGCCATCTGGAGGGGCCTCTGCGCATATGTGTCGGAAACGCAAATGTAATGCACATAATGGCAAAAAGCAACACACACTCGGACACGCTGGTGCTGGGCGCGACGGCCGTCGATAGGGCACTGCAGGGTCTTAAGGTGAGCGTTGCACGGCGTTAAATGTTCTGGGGGAATAAATCATCGGATGCCATTTTCAGAGGCGAGAACGTAAAAGCGCTTCACCTAGCCAAGGGGTGGAACTTGTGAAAGAGCGCGCGGGAGGCGGGCTAAGGACGGTTTCAGCTCTTCTTCTTCATGAGTTGTAAAACATCTGCAAAGGAAAAATCATTGATTCTTTTCACTTGATAAATGGGGTTTCCCCTCTGTGAAGAAGAACAAAAGGGGCCAAGGGTTCAAAACGGCAATAATTTATTGTCCTCTTCTTTCTTCCCCTAGCGGCAGTAGGGCAAAGACTGTTTTTGGTGCAACCGCTTTGGGAGCTGCTGTGTATTTTCTAGGCAAGCTTGCATGTGAAAAGGTTTGAAGTAACGCATCGCAATTCTTTACTGACTGTATGCTTCAAATAATTAGTGTGAAACACCATTATATCATGTTCCTTAAATATATGAGGCTCCTTTTGAAGCTTTTGTTACGCAAAAAATTGAACAGAATCTTGTTCATCCAAGTGTGGACTTTAACGTGCTCAGAACTTAGGTAGGAAGCTGCATCTGCCAGGGATAGGTGCAGTAACAGTTCTAGCTGAGCAATTCTCTTTAATTCAACCATTCGTACCTTGCAGCAATTCCATTTGGGAATTCAGACGCCTAAAGTCTGAGAACATATAGCTGGGTTTAACGCCCTGGTTCTGCCAAACTAATTCGATAAAAAGGTGCCACCCAAAGGCTTATACCGCACGTTCCTCTAACGAATGGTCTGTGCCTTACCTACCTCTATTAAATAAAGAAAGAGTAGGGGAAACCTAATATCCAATTCCCATCTCGAAAACAATGCCCCTAGATTGCATATTTGGAGGGCGTTCCAGCATACAGCAAGGCATTACCCATATAGGGGGTTAAAATCATGTATTAAAACTGACGAAAAAAAGGTGCTGAAAGCGCCCTTAACCCACCTCCCGCGCTCCCCTTCGCAAGTCCCACCCCTTTGCGATGTCCGTCGGTAAAACCTTTGCTCCTCGTGAGATGCCGTCCGCAGGATTCTTTTCCGACGCGATATAGCCCCATGTGGCGTGTAAGCCTTGGTCGCGCAACGCCCTGTCGATGTGCCCTGCCCCCCCCCGCCAGGGCATCGTAATGTGTGCGCCTTTCTGCATAATATGCATCGCTGCCGTGTTATCGACGCATGCATGGAGTGTAGCCGGTAAAATCCCCTTGAAAGCGAGCAGGGCCAATCCTACGGCCCTTGCTTCGGCCTGTGAAATAATGCGGGGGGCGTGCCCCCATGCCCCCCCTGTGGCCCACACAACCCCGCTGCCCTTAAACAAAGGCGCACGCCATCCGTATAAAGAGGCGTCGGACACTAAAGTCCCTGAAGTCGGTTTGGCCCTCAGGGGGTTGACAGGATTATTCTGCAACAAAGTGTCCAGCCACCCCTGTCCGATCTTAAGGGAAAAAGGGGGTAGAGCGGCCGGGCCATGGGCCTCTATTGGCCCTCAGTTGAGCCGCGACAGTCTTCGGCGCACCGTTTTCAAAAAGAAATAATGCTGAAAAAACGAACCCCCACCGCATACATCATGCGTGAAGTGAAGCTTTGCAATTCCCCAACCAACATCTTATGGAGGGGTGTGGCACTCTTCAATTTCCGTAACGTCTTGTCACTGAGGGAAACCGTCTTCGCAGTGTGGTTGAAACAAACCCCTATGAATTCATAACGCGCGGTGGGGGCCTTGTGCTCTCCCACCGTTGCACCGCAATAGCGCGCATCTGTCATAATACTGTTCCCCCACGACTTTACGCTCTTGCGTGGCCCTCCGATACGAATATTATCAATCCGCACGTATAGAGTTAACTCCGCCGGGGCTGCATAACGTGGTTTGGCCACCTCGGGGTCACCCGCCAATTTTCTTGAGATCGCGTGCGCGATTTCCGGACTACATTTATACCCCATTGGAGGCCGTGTGAACTCGACCAGCTCCCCCTTCTCCGTGCGGCAACGGAAATTTCTGCGTCTTTCGGCTGGCAAACCTGCCTGGAAAAAGGATGCCTTGAGATCGAAAAAGGCGGCAGCCTCATTGCACACCGCACCCAGGTAACGGGAAATGCGCCCTAGAGGAACCATGGCCTCGTAGTCCTCTTGTTCATTTTTAGCTTGTGGCCATGCCATGAAACGTCGCCGTGGCCCCGACTGTTTTTCCTCCACTACCGTAAAAGGCACAATCCATCCAGTAGTGGATAGCTTTGATGCGGTTTGAATAAAGCCGGCCTTCTTCATCGCCCGGGCATCCCCTTCTGCCATTCTCAAGGGAGGCTCTCGTTCCCCTGCCCTAGAAATAGCTGGCTGTCGCACCGAATCCCACACCGTATTAAACCGTTCCAGAGCCGTCGAATTGAGTCGGCTCCAGGCCCAGCGCAGTGAGAGAGTATCCGCATCTACCTTTTGTAACGGTAGCCTGCGTTCGTCGTTCTGATCGGCCACCCGCGTGTGATGGGTACGTCGCAAAATGCTATGCCCCTGAAAAAGTTGTCCCTTCTCCTGCCCTCTGTCCGGACAGGCCAATGGAGACATCGCCCATTTGCTGACCTCGTCTACATATATGCCGTCAGGTGTGCGGATTTGTTGACCAAAGCGATCCACGGCCTTATGTACCGCGCTGTGCTGCGTGGTAGCTCTAGGGATTTGCGTGTTTCCCTAGCTGGGCCAGCAGTCGAGGGTCGAGATCGTGTTCGATCACCGCTGCAGCTGCATGCGCCAGTGCCCCTCTTTTGATGGAACGCGCTGTCGTGCCGAATGGTCCGAGTACATTTTCCATGTCCTTGTGGTTAACGTCGTGAGCCTTTCCCCCTCCACCATTCCCGTGGTGACGCCTCTCACCCTCTTTGCACCTTCTCCCCCGATAACCACGTATCGCGCCGCTCTGTGGGAGTCGATCTTGAAAGTCTTTTGGAGGGCCCCCCAATCTACAATGAGGGCTTCCTTGGTTTGAGGGTGAGGAATGAAATTCTCCTTCCGGAGTAGGGCGATTTCGCCCCATCGACTAGCTGTGAACCAGGCGAGTCGTAGGGCCACCCGATCGTTTTCAGAGGTCAGCATATTGCTGATGTGATCCGGCTCCCATCTCTCCATGGGGTGGGCCTGTTTTATGGGGTCTGCGGCCGCCTTTCATTGAAGACCGGCCAAAATCATCTGAGCCGGTGACCGGCCTGAGGCCAGTAACGTCAGCAAGGTTCTTGTGTATTGCACCGCGCTGCTCTTGGCCAGTTGTAGACTTACAATAAAAGGGGATCGTTTTCCCCCCGAACCTCTAGATTGTACTTTTCCACGAAGCCGCAGAATCTTCGCATTATGGACACCCTTTGCTCCCAAGCCGAATGGGTCCACATGCCCTTTGCTATGCGGTTCGCCTCGGACGCCAGCGCCGTGACATATGGGTTGTTTGACGGTGCCGCAATAACTATAATCTCGTTTGCTGAGGTCTTTAAGGGCAGAAGAACCTGTCTTACCTGAACCCCCCCGAGTGGGAGGCGCTCGTGAGGCCCGGCATAATTAAATGGCGTGTAGGGCCCTTCCCGCGGCGAAACGCCCTCTTCCCGGTTGCCCGGCCGTGCCCGAAGCACTCGGTAAGGATTCCAATGCTTTCCCGGCCCCGGAGTTCACTGCTTCCGGGGCCGATAATCGTTTTTTGGCTTAAATGGCGTCTTTTTCACCTGCACATAGCATGTTGTGCTGTAGTGCCCTGTGCGCCAGCATCGAAAACCACGCGCATAGCTAGGAGGGGCGGAATATTTTTTCGTTTTCTGGACCGTCTGAAAAATCGGGTCGTCCTCCTTTCCGGGATCCCCGATGGCATTGGCAAGGGTTTGGATATTAACGCCGGGGTTTTCCTTCGCCGCCTGGGCCACCCGAAGCTGATAATACAGCCCTCTGCCCAGTTGCGCCTCTTCAGCCGACATGCCCTCGTGGCGGATAGCATAAATCCATGCCACGAAGTTGTCCCACGCCTGGCAAAGATTCAATCCAGGCTTCATGGGTAAGGGAAAAAGACCCCGATAAGCCGCCAGCAGCTGTTCTGAGGAGGTCCCCAATAAATACCCCAAGGCGCCCTCGAAGGTCCGGATATTTTCTTCTGGTCGGAAACCCTTTTCCACGAACTTATTCCTTAGCCTTTGAATTCCTCGCACCCCCACCTGGGGTTGAGCCCCCAACGCCGTAAAAGGCCGTTCTGCATGCCCGCCCATCTTGGCGGTATGTCTCACCGTGTGGGCATCTTGTAAAAATAAATTCGTTTTCACCCTCTGTTGCCGCCCACTGCGCTGGAAGTCCCTGTCTCTCTTTTTGGTTAATCCACGCCTGCATCTGATTATTCCGATCTTGCATCTGATTGTTCTCCTCACACAACTGGGTTTTCTGCGATTCCAACGTGTTAATCTGATGCTGAATTTGATTAATGCGTTTGTTTGATCCTGCCGTTTGAGCGTAGGCGTCCTGCTGGATCTTTAAGTTTTCCTCAGCCAGTTGTGCCCTGGCCATTTCATACTGCTGATACAGTATTGACTTGCTTTCTTCCAGTGCCATCCACTCAGTTCGAAAGGTCGCCCGTGCATCGTCAAAAGCCTTAAGAAAGCTCTCATTCTTTGGCATGTTAAACGACACCATAGAGTGCCGCAAAGAAACGAAACTGGCTTTAGCACCATTCTCCAGACAAATGGTCGGTTCCCCGTTCTCGAGTGTGAGTGCGCCTTCGACGCGATTGACCTGTGTACTAAAATTTGGTCTATACTCGAACGAAAAGAAGGTGCGACCGCAATGTTCAACGAACGTCCTGAAAGCCGAGAGGCTCGTCATCCATTCCGCATCCAAAGGGGTCTGCTGGGGGTTGGTGGGTAACATTGTGATCCTTGTGACTTACCTTTCGTTTCAAAAACTTACACTTTGCGACTTTCCAGCGGCAAGATGTGAATATTAGAATGATGATGGATTGCAGGATCTCCTGTTAACAAGATTGGGTAAGGCTTGACCATTCCTTTAGTAGGCTTTCAGAATAACTTGATAATTAAAACTTCAAATAAGCTCTAAAAGATAAGCTTCTTCGGTATCGCCCCTCATGGGATGCCAGCTGCCCCATCGTGGCGTCACGGAAAAGCGCCCCGAAACGCATGGCAAGCCAAGCGCCAGCAACGTTCGCCCCTCGAAGGGCTTTGCGGCGCCAAGCTTTTGGCACCGCAGGGCACCAGGGCCAGCCGCGCCCCGCTGGGACACAGTATTGTATTTCCCGGTCTTGGGGCGCATGTTGCCGCACCGT